CAAGGCAAAGAGGTCAGCTCACATTGCTGCTGTCCTTTATGCCAGCTATCCTCTGAACAAGCAGCAGGTTGTTTCTGCTATTTTTTATCAGTTTTATTTGACAGGCTACAATCTTCCCCCTTCTCCCACCTTTCCTTCCAAAATAATTTTAAAAAAATCCCATTTCTTCTGAATTTCTTACCAATTTGTATACTTCCTGAGAAAGCAGGTCACACACAGGCCACCTTTAATTTAATACCTCCCTTTGATTTTAGCGGCTGTGAGATCAGGATTCCAGAAGGTGAGCTGCTTGAACTGACAGAGTCAGCGAGTAGCTTTCCTCCCTGCTTTCCCCTCACTGTCAGCAAACATCTCTAATGGCAAGTAACACTGCTAACAGGTAAACTGATACCTTGCTACTGGGTAGCTGACAAGACTTTTAATATATAACTGAAACTAGAGGATGGTTATAAAACACTCCTAGTTCACTTCTGCTCTCTTATAGCTACTAATTCCTCCCCCTTGGTGTTCCCCCTTCCAGAAATTCAACACAGAGCCAACACTTCCTTAGTACAACATCCATGTGCTTCCCTTAGGCAATTCCACTGAAACCGAGTATGTCAACTGTTACCAGGGGAGGAAGCATCCATTTCCATCACTACACGGTAAATGAAACAGCATTGCTTCCCTTCCTCCCCTGATACAAGCCGTTTCATTACTGCAACATTTTACAGAGCCTGCACATACCAGGATTTGTAAGAAAGCATCAAATACTTGAGCTGATACAGAACTGGTTCGATGCTTCTCTGCAAACACAGTGGCACAAAGCCAGATCCGGACTCACCTCTTGCCAATGAGGCTCCCAAGAGGCAGGTGACCCCTTTATGATAAGGAGTTAATTATAAAACAACATTATTAATTATGTTAATTGTAAAATAACATTTTTCAACAACACTAAAGATAAACATTACCACGCACATTGCTTCTGAGCTGAGTACAGAAAATAATTTACAGGAGTCACTTCTACACTTACTTCTTGTTTCAATATCGTCATTACCAAACCAACTTTGCACAGGATGGCAGCATCACCAGGATGGTGCAGAACTGCATGCCACGTTAAGGAAATAGCTGCTGCAGAAGTTTCCCACCAGAGTTGCCCCCACATCCAACTCCTGGAGTCCAAATTCCAGCAGTGCTCAGCCAAATATAGTCCACAGAGCTGCAGGTGCCAAAACCCACTCAACCTTTGCTCATATCCGACCATGATCAACTCAGATTGCAGGAACAGCCTCCAGAGCTGTGAACACTCATCTACAAAAGTTTGCTTTGGACTGAAGTGATTTAGATTATGTATCAAAGTCTGCTCAACGCTCTTCTCAAAAACTGAAGATGACAAATTAATCTCGGCTGTGATGAAATCTAATACTCCTTATGTGAATTACAACATTATCTGAAAGCTCCGAAGAAGACTGAACCCTTTTTTTTTTTCTTGTCAGATGCTGTACAAGTGTGGAAAGAAGGAAATGAACTCAACAATTTCTAGCTTAGTTTTTAAAACGATACTTTAAATAAGTTTAACCAAAAAAGGAGCTAGGAAAGAGGGATGAAGCTAAGGGAGCAACTGACCCCACATGCTTGCTGTGAGCACAAAAGGAAATTTTTGAATTGCTATTTATTTCAACCTGCACCACAACATGCCTCACATTTCCAAGGCAGGAGGAAAGGGTCCAGCTTGAAGAAGCCTGTCGCTGCTCAAGGACACAGTGGTGGGTAGAAAGAGGACGGGCACAAATGTAATGACTCCAGTCGCAGGATGAGCAGCTTGGCAGCACTTGGCTGTAAGAGTGTGAATAATAAAAAAAGTTCAAAACATCTGTATGGGTTTTGCTGTGCAAAAAAAGCACAGACGTGACACAGGAAGGGACTGATGAATGGAAAGGCAAAGGTGATCATATTTATTAAATAAAGAAAACCTGCTGATGGAGCAAAAGGCAGATGGAGGGAAATGAAACTCAACAGGCGAGAGGGATAAGAAAGAGCAGGTATAAACACCTCTTTAAGGGATTTTTAACGCGAGACATAGACAAATGAATAAAATGGACCTCTATGGGTATCCGGGATGATGAGTTACACATTTCCCATGGACAGCATCGGGATGAGATCTCTAAAAAGGAGCAGAGACCAGAAGCTCCCTGGGCAAGCAGCTGAACAGAAGAAGGGACAAGGAGCCCCCAAGGATGCTGGTGGGGGCAATCCCTGTGTCCCCACCGCCATGAACCAGGTCCTGCTGCAAAATGCCAGAGCAAGCTGGAGGCAGAGAGGAGGGAGGGGAGTCCAGAAGGGGCTGGAGGTGGGGATCAAACACCAGCCAGAGGCAGGAAGGAGGGAGACGGCTCAGGGGAGCTCTG